TGGGGTCTCCAAGGTTAACTGATGACCGTAACATTCCAAAAAGTATGAAACCAGTTGAGTTCTGGTTGTTTACGTGAAAATTTTTGTGTTTCGACTACATTGCTTCTCTGTATATCTTTATAAAATTAATAAATATTAGAAGTTCACCCTCAAATTGCTCAATTTGGAGCGTATGTGTTTGATTCCGTACTGGGCCAGTTAATGTTTATTTCTTGGCTGTCCCAAGAAATTATGAATCAAGTTGTGAGTCAGATTTATTCCTTTGGCGTAATCCCACTTTTCAATTTATTTTGATATAAAAGAATTATCAATTTCTCTTTGGTTATAAATAAAAGTTATCATTTAAAAATTGGGGGATTTCATTTTTTTTTTAAGGTTTTTTTCTTTTGTTTTATTTTAAATTATTTGCTTTGCGTTAAATTCATTATCTAATTGGAAGCTAAGTACTGCTCTTTTTTAAAATTTATTTATACAATTTTATGTTATGTTTTTTGTTTTTATTAGCAGTATTTTGAATTGACAAAAAAAAAAAAAAACTAGAAAAGTCAATACAAAGCTATTGTCACATGTCTCATATTGCCTTTTTCTTTTTTTTTATGTTTACTTTTATTGTTGGCCAAACAGGCTCCATTTTGTCAGGTAATAGGCTTTTTATCTGCAACTTGGCATGGTCGTGCATGTGATGTAGATATTGTCTGCTGTATTTTTTTTTTTTTTCAATAAGTAAAACTATTTAGCAGTTAGATCGCTTTATTCTTTAGTTAGTGTAAAAAAGTTATAATTGAAAGAAAACTATTTTTCTGTTATACATACTTTTGATACTAGAGAAATTCAATTTGTCATCTGACCATTATTCATTTATAAATAAAAGGGTTGATCAACGCTTATATAAAAAAAAATTAGCTAACTTCTTACAATACCGTGGAAGTTGATTTTTAATTTAAAAATCTGTGTTGTATCCAGTCAGATTCAAGATTTTATTTTATTATTTTAATATATTTATTTGTTTAGAAGGGTAATTACTCTGAATGAAAATATATGAAGTGATATCTAAGTGGTCGTTATAAGACTGTTAAAAAAATATATATACATATATATATATATATATATATATATCCCATATATCTGCGGATTGTCTGTGGATTTATATTTGGCAAAATATTATCTCTAAATTATATTGGAATTAAAATTTACTAGAAGAGAATAGTTGCAGCATTTAAAAGAATTTACTTTATTCCTTGTACTGGACATGTATTAGACATGGAGGTTTCCCATTTGAATGAAAAAATTAATGAAAAAATAATTTTATTCTGGGACTACAGTCCCCTAAGAATAATAACAGAGTTACGTAATTACGAACATTAGTCTGGCTTAGATGGATACTAAATGATGTCTAATTAACTGTCGATTGTTATTGCAATTGTACAGTTGATCGAATTAAACAGTACAAACTCAAGTAAATTTTACATGTTTGCGGAAGTTTGAATATGTAGTAGGTGGTGGAATAGGAGTTGTCTGAAGGAATTTGTGAACGGGGATTGACTTATGGAATTAGGTCGAGAGTTTCAAGAGGAGGTAGCACGAATGACAAAGGATTTGCTGAAGGAAGCAATTTTATGGGAGAGGATATATAAATATATAGGTTGAGACTTGGTATTGAGAGAGTGAATAGAGAAACGTGGGGTTTTTGGTTTTGAGGACTTGGAATATATTAGCTGAAAAGGCAAAATTTTCTTTAATCTTTTTCAAGTAGAATGTCGAAGCAGATTTTAATGCCAGTAAACATGGGCTTGATAATTTCAAAAGGAGCTACGCTATGGAATACATATTTTATATTAATTTTTATTTCACTGGAAAATTTCTTTACAACAATTTTAGTTTTCATTATACTTCAGTCATAGAAAGGTATTTAATACTTGCTTGGAGTGGGCGAATGGATACAATATACAATACAAAGTCTGGTACTTATAAGAATTAGCGATGTTGGGCATTTTCTTTAGCTACAAAATCAGAGACTCATGCAGTCTACATGTTCGAATTTTAAAGACCGTCCTGTATTTAGTTTAATTAATGTTATATTTATAATTTTTTTCAAGAAACAAAGAAACGAAACATGGTTAAATGTAACAGATGCAATCATTCTATAATATGGAGTGATGCAGTTAATAGGCTATTGAAAGTTAAAAATTATTGAAGTTTATCGATTATTGGGTAATGAATAGCTTCCCCAGTATTTTCACTGCTTTATTATTTTTAATTTTTGTTTAAATTTAATGCTTGTGTTACAAAACCAAATTAGCTAGTATCAAACAATAGTTCTATTTAGTTATATAAAAGTAGTTAACAAGTAATTTTAATGTATTAATTTGATAATATTAGAAGATAATTTAGTTAACATTAATATGGTATTTGTAACCGTATAATAGTTTTGTTAATGTAAAATATTGGTCATTGTAAAATAAAATAAGATATTAGATTTAAATGATTCACACTTAGAATAAAGCGATTTAGAATGATATTGCAGCCTGCTTTAGTTCTGTTCTCGCATGCAGTTGCTTTGAATGATCATTCATTATTTCATCTCCCTCAATCGATGACTGCTTAAATCCAAAAAAATTCCTTTTCTTTCATTCATTAATATCATTCATATATTCCCCTCATTTCCTTAACATCCTTTCAGTGTGAACTTGAAGTATGTAACACTGTAAATACCCACAAGTAGTTGTATCGACTGTGTCTGAAGTATAAATTCTTCGATTGTTTTCGTTTGGCCTTTTTTTCAAAAGGCATGCACGATTGTTGTATATAAAAATGTTATCTTTTTATTAAAAAAAAAAAAATGTGGGGTTTCTGTATAAGCTGTTGCGCTGATATTATGTATAACTGAAACCGAATGACAATGTTGTATTTTAGTAAGTTATGTTGAAAATGTTAATGTTGTTTATTTATTTTATAATTTTTTTTTTTGAAATTTTATAGGTGATTGTATGTGTATGCCATAATTTTTAGCAATAATAAATTATTGCTTTTATTACATATTGCTCATTAAATATAACCATGCCGTGACTCAAAAAACATCAATTTCGGCTTATTTATTTTTGAAATACACTCTATCAATATCTTTGACTGTGAGAAACGACTTTTTGCTTTTTACTCAAAAGCTCTAAAATATTAAACATATAGATTGATTTGTGCGAAAAAGTTTATTATAAATCAATTACTAAAATTGTACTAAAAATATAAAGTAAAGTGGGAGTGACGTTGCTTCATTAGTTAGGAACTTAACTCTTTTTGTTATTTTGTTAACATTTGATATTTTATGGTAATGGAGGAATTAATAAATTAAGTATTATCATAAACTTTTCATTCTGATCAATGAAATTCGAATTGATTGTATATAAATGTACTTTTTTTTTTTTTAGTTATGTTGTATTTAATAAGCAATATGCTCTTTGTAATTTTATTTTAAAGTTATACTGTTATTAGTATTTTTATTGTGTATGTGTATTTTTATGCACATATACATGTTTTATTGTACATAGTATGTTTTATTGTTGTCTGATAAGTAAAAAATAATTAAATTTTGAATCTGATTATGTTTTTAAAAATTTTTTATAAAAGTTTTAATTATAATATGTAAGAGATAACGATTTGTTTCATTGATAAATTTTATTATTTTCTCTTTTCTTACATCATTAATAACTATAAGATATTGGAATCAATAACGATTAATTTTTTTTTTAAATTGTATAATTTGAAGCATATTTTTGGATTTTCAATTCCCGCTGACATTACATTAAATTATTTCATTTTGTGAGTGTAGTTTGCTTTTTTTTATTGGTGTTGGAATGAGATGTTTAATGGTGTTGGGTTATATTTCAGCTCGTCCGACGTTCCTCAATCTCAACATCAACTTGAACACCCTTCGCCTCCAACCTGGCTCCAAACGTATGTTACTAACACTAATCTTCCTATTTAAAGCTCTCTTTTCTTTTATGTACTAATCTATCCTACTGTGTGTTGTCTTGTTATGTAACTAACCATAATAATGTTAACTTTGAAACATCTTTAACATATAGAATAGTTTTTTTAAATAAGTTAAATAAAATTATTTTAAAAAAAAAACTTTTTTATGCATTAATTTCATACAAAATATCATAATTTTTCCAGCTTTTTAAAAAAAATATAAATTTTTATATTAAAATTGAATTATTATTATCTAATAAGAGGTTTCGTTGTTTTCTTAATAATTTTCATCTTATAATATACCTCTATTAACCATCCTATTGCCATTAGTCCTCCATGTATTCTGTGATTGTTTTATTATTTGGAATCCATTTCTCCTTGAAAGTTTTCTTCTCATGTCTACTCCTTATTAGCAATCTTACTTTTCTATCACTTGGCGGAAAATGTGTAAAATTAATTTATGATCAGGATTTGATATCGATGGAAGAGGAAAACAAAATGCAGAACAACAGATTATAGGAGGATTATATTTTTATTATTTGTTTTTAGTTTTTATTAATTTGTAGAAATGGATAGTTGGTCTGGTTACCTACCAAGTCACTTTATTAAATTCTCAGGTTAAATGATCTATCATTTCTTTCAAGTAGTCGATAGTGAGCAGTTATTTAAATTTTAATCTGAAAAATTAAGTGATACTAAAAAGAATTTACTTCATTGCCAGCTGATAAATATAAATGTAAGCATTGATCTGGCTGAAATTGGACTTAAAAATTAAAATTGTTATATAAAATAAGTTAATTCTCAAATATAAACTATTGTATTTTATTTTTTGTGATTATTATTCTTATTTTTCCTAATGCTCCAGTTGTTATGTGAAAACCTAGCTAGTTTAGGTTTTGCTGAATAAGCATTGATAATAAATGCTAAATTTGTTATTTTTATATTATTTTCATTTTAATTTTTAAAATAAGTAACAATCATCAGAAAGGTGAAGATTTAAATTTTTATATTAATCTACCTACGTTTTGAAATAGCATCACCGAACACTAAACTTGGCCTAAGGATGACCACCCTACATGAGGAACATTCCCGTAACTTCCCATTAAGTGAAGAGGGTTTGATAGAGGAAGAAGAAGAGGGAGGAGAGGAAGAAAGGGAACCTGTCAGAAGATTTTCCGAGTTTGAATCATTTCAGGTATGATTTAATAGGTTTTATTAATATTTTTTTAAATAAAATTTATAATATATACTAGGGAGGTTCCCCTGTCCGCATGACGGCTCACCAACCCCCATTTTACAAATTATACAACTATTCATTTAATTACATATGTGTTGAGCTCCTGTTGCCTTGTACTGTCCTAATATAACAAAGATTTTAATTAGTAATTAATAATTTTAATTTTTTTTAGAAATTTTAATTGGTTAATCCCTGTTCGGGCGCCAAAAATTATGTTTCTTTCAAAATAAAATAATATATGTAAATTTTTGGTTATCTATAATTTAGTTTTAATATCATTAATATTTATTTTATATTATATTCAATTACATAAATGTTTTATTAATATTTTTTTAAATAAAATTTATAATATATACTAGGGAGGTTCCCCTGTCCGCATGACGGCTCACCAACCACCATTTTACAAACTATACAACTATTCATTTAATTACATATGTGTTGAGCTCCTGTTGTCTTGTACTGTCCTAATATAACATAAAGATTTTAATTAGTAATTAATAATTTTAATTTTTTTTAGAAATTTTAATTGGTTAATCCCTGTTCGGGCGCCAAAAATTATGTTTCTTTAAAAATAAAATAATATATGTAAATTTTTGGTTATCTATAATTTAATTTTAATATCATTAATATTTATTTTATATTATATTCAATTACATAAATGTTAGGCTAAGGACTTACAGGTTCAGTCATTAACATATTTACACTTAAACATACATATATTATCAGCATATACCATTGCTCAGCAAGCTAAAGATTTTATTGTAATATTCCCTAATTATTTCTTCTATTATCGTTTATCTAATTTAATAGTCAAATAGTGTTACATTTATTCCAAATTTACATTACTAATAATTATTACGGCCTCATTATTTTTTAGGATTCTGAAAGATCAAAGCAACACGTTAGAAGTTCACTTCCAAGTTCAAGAACATTGGATTCTCTCGTTGAACTTCAATCAACAAAAGGAGGAACTCCAAGTACAAGTTCAAGGTTAATAAATCATTTTATTTAGATAATGCATCATATTAAAAAAAAAGCATAATTTCATATGAAGCTTCCAAGTAATAAAAAGTACGACTCCATATTTATTTTTCAATAATATTATCATAGTTTCACTTCAAATTTCTACACGTTCTTCACTGACTGACCAAGTTATGTATTTGAATTGGACTAAATCCTTCAGAAAATCCTAGTTTTTAACAGAAAAGGAAAAAAAACATTAGTTGTCCTGTTGCTTTATAAAAAAACCTACAAATATTTTTCCTCGATATGAAATATAAATAACAAGACAATGGACACCTAGTTGGTCTAACATTGGGAAACCAACATTTCTGCCTTCAGCCATAGCTTTATGTCTTTATTCCATTTAAAAATTGTACTCTAAAAAAAAAAAAACACCATTTACAAACAAATTGAAATATAGCTACTATACTCATAATGAGGTATTAATTTGTATTAGTATATAATTTAATAAACTTATTAATTATGTTTTTCAGTGGTTATGGATCTCAAGCAGTTTCTTCTAGCAATCTCACAAGCGATGACTGCCTCTCGTTGAGATCTATGGACACTCCAGATGACGGGAAGCATTCTTGCCCCTCAGAAGAGACCAAGGTTCCTCCTCAAACTCCAATTGTCAAAGATGAATTTTCCAGTCAAGCTAATCATGATAACCAAAGTTCAGAGAATGAACCTCCTGCTTTGACTCCTGGCAAAGTATTTTATCCATTATAATATTTGATCTATTTTTCGATGTTTAATTAATTTAATTTACGTAACACTTGTACTGGTTTTTAGGTTGTAAGGAGGAGGAAGAACAGCACCGGTACTGTTAGGAATAATAGTAACAGAGCTTCTTTCCCCCAAGCACGAGGGCCGCTTTCCGAAAGTAAAGCAGCGCTTAGGCTCGAGAGGAAGTTATCTGAATTATCCAATGGTAACGAGAGCATATCATCTTCGGGCGGCAACACTGAAGGTAAGATTATCAACACGTAATTTTTAGTGTCGGAATGAATAAAGGATTTATAATATAATTTGTGGCAAACTATCAGATAATTTTGTTGGAATGTGTATTTATTTATTTATAGATGAAACTGAAACTGTGAAGGAAGCTCCTCTCCCTGAATGGGTCTGCCTCGGAGAAAGTGTGCAGATTAGGCCTTACAACTCAACAGGTGTGATAGCCTACATAGGCCCGACTTCCTTCGCCACTGGTACCTGGGTTGGAGTTGATCTCGATGCCCCTATAGGTATGAAATGATTTTTTTAAAAATCAGTTTAAGATTGAATTGTAACCACTTCTCTAAATAATTATGCTTCTCATTATAATCTTCTGTTACAAGAAACATAACACAAAAAGTCTAAAAAAATTTCATTTGGAATTTTTCTTCATAAATTCTTACCATCATTCTTACCAAAAAAGGATCATTTTTGGAATCATGCTGCCAGCCATCCTTTGTGCATGTCCTGTCCATCAAAGTCGTCCGAGCTTCAAGAACTTGACTATGTCAACATCTTTATTGTCATCTACAACAAAATAAATAAATTCAATAATAAAATGTGCCGCTGATATATGACATCATGCAATATTTAAATTTTATTCATGAATCAGGATTAATATTGCCTAATTGGGATGTTTAATGTTAGACAAATGGTTCTTTAAGAGATGTATTTCAAGATAATATATTGTTACAGCCATGTATTTTTTTCTTTTTTAATTATTTAATTAATTAATATATTTGTCTTTCTTTAAGGTAAAAATGATGGAAGTGTCGAAGGAGTTAAGTATTTTGAGTCGAGGCCAAAGCATGGCATCTTTGTTCGTGCAGACAAACTCATTCGAGACCGAAGAGGAAGAGCTATGAGGGATCAGAAACCTTCTAAAGGTTTTTTTTTTTATCTTATATTAATTAATTTATAATAATTTGATCAAATGTTTTATGTGCCATTCAATTTTAAGTAGCTGTTGTCAAATCCATGAAATCCTAGTTTAAATTTATATAAGTTGTTTTGTTAGACTTTTTTTATTATATATAATAATTATTGTTTCTAATTTTATTTTACCTTTACACAGAAAACACCACTCTTCATCGATCCCGAAGCAGGGGAGAAGGTCTTAGCAGCGTTGGGAAGACAGCTGGTCGTGTCATCGGGAAGTAATAATCTTTTATCAATATTTCTCTTTTCGCTTCTGTCAGCTTATTTCCACAGGACTGGTTTATTTCCACCTCTATGGCTGTGTCATTCCAGAGTAAAAAAAAAATAAAAAGAAGAAATTAAAAAAAAAAATGAAAAAGAAAGTTAAAATTATTGTATTATGCGCATGGGGGCCCATGCCTATTTTCATATATCTAAGATAAATATAAATAGTTTATTGATAAAGAACGTTAATGTTTGTTCAAATGTTGATTTACAGCCTTATTCTATGTATCATGACATGAAGGGTATGTCAAGTACTTACTGTATTTATGTAATAAATTTGCAATGTACGATATCTGTGACTGTAAGGCTGAACGAGATGAAATTGTGCCAACTTTCATTGGAGGTTGTGCAATACCGGCCGTGGCTAAGCCATTCTAAATAAACCAGTCATTATTATATATCGAGATAAACCCCTCTCTTTTAGTGTTTTTAAAATGAAATAATGGAAGCGTATAGCTCTTGCCAGATTTGTTATTAATTTAATGTTAGCTAGCTTTAGCAAACCCGTGATCCGTTATTTAGACTATCATATTTTGTTTTATTGCACATTAATTTATCCAATGCTCACCGCAGGTTGTTTTAATATATAAAATAAAAAATATAAAGTTAATTTTCAATTGTTACGGTACAGATATCACATGCTTGCTACTCAAGAGGTTTTGTTACATATATATTTTTGTTATATGTATGCTGTGTCGACTTAAATAGATTAAGAGATTATGAACTTTTTTTTTTTTTTATTGTTTTTTATTATTTCTAAGACTACGGGTAAAAGAAAAAAAATGACAAAACCTCTCATACCGTCGATGGCATATCAATTTCAAATTTTAAATTAATGTACATTCTTCACAAAGTCTACAGATATTTATATTTTTTAACAATATATTTATAAAGTGTTAAATTTTTAATATATACTTTGCAAAGAAATATTAAAATTCAATTTCAAGATAATGCTTGGCATTAATTTTTTTTTTTCTTTTTGTAGATAAAATGACTTTTTGGGTATGTGCAATAATATTAGTAAGGGTAGCTATGATCTTACTACTTAAACCTAAAGTGTAAGGCTTTTATGTCGTTAAATAAGAGGTGAGATGGAACATGTACTTATTGTTAGGAAAAATGCCTAATTTAAAAATAATTTATAAAAAATAGCTGTATGAGAGACTTTGTCATATTTACCCAAAATTCCATTTTGCCTCCTTATTTAAATTTTCTCTGTTGTAATATAAATTAAGCATTATACAAAAAAAGAATTAAAAAATAATATTTATAGTCTTTTCAATTGAACGGCATTAATGGTTGTATTTTCAATCCTCTTATATGTAATATATTGTATTATATTTAGAAAATCATTTATTATATTGTAATTATCATTTATAAGTATTTAAGAAGAGCGTATAAAAAAAAATTATTATTAAAAAAAAAAAGCACAAGAATTATTGTATTATATGTGAAAATGCTAAAATCCCTTACAAAAAAAAAAAAGGAAAAAACAAAACTAAAAAAAACATAGTGAAATACCAAACCCTTATTTCATTTTAGCCAAAATCCCAGTTCGCTTTATGTGTTTGTATCTCGAGTGAGATTCTTATTTGTGATAATTAAATTCGCCATCCAAGTTTAACAATAATTGTATATGTTAAAAAAAAAATAATAAAAGAAAAGAAAAAAAATCCATTATTCCATCCTATGAAATGTCCAAAATTATCAATTTCACTATATCACTGTCCAGTCATGTATTATAACCAAAATGCTGGTTATGGAGATTTTATGAACAAAATGAATTAGATCGACCACTCAGTGTTTGAACTTAACATCTAAATTACATATAAATGGTTGAAGCAAAATTTGTTCTGAGTTATTATAATTTTAGAAATAATATTCTGCTCTGGTGTTGTGAATATTTCATTGAGATAATCTTATAAGCTTAGGCTTATAACAATGGTTGATGATTAAGGTTGAAGTAAAACTATTTAACTTGAAATAATGGAAAATTTTAAATTTATCGCTTTTTCCCCTAGTGGAAAAAAGTGAAGCTATACCCGTCCCTTTCAGATGTCCAATTTTAAGACTTTTTTCTGATTGTTAATCTCACACATAATGTTAACAAGAAACAACTCAATTTTAATCATGATTTTTTTTGCAATTGAAAAATATATCTATCAGTAATTCTGTAATCAGCATTTTGATTTAAGTATCCTCTTGTCCATGATGTTCTATGTCCATACACTGCATAGCGTTAAATGAATTTTTAATAAGAAAGCAAAAGGGATTGTGTTAGGGGGAATTAATAGTATAGTTTTATAGAAATGAGAGTGCTTGAATATTGTTACCATAGCTATTAATTCAATTGTAATTTTTGTGTGATTTTAGTTAATTGTTCATCTGTTTTAATTATATATGTGATTTTATTTTTATGATGAGGAAAATTTACAAGCGTGGAGATATAATTATGAAACGGTTGGATATTATTAACTTGTTATTCTAATTTTAAAATTGTTATCTTAAGATCATTTATTTGTTTTGTTTTTTTAATTACACAATTTTTTCTTGCCATATGAAAAGTTTTAAAGCCTTTTAGGTTTTATGTTTTCTTTTTTATAGTACTTTATTTTTAGTGTAATGAAACCTCAATTAACTGTCTCCAAAAAGCGATGAGAACAACCTTAAGAAAACTTGAAACATTTATACTTATACAATCAAACCTGTTGGATTGTTACTATGTTGGTTCCATATATAGAAATTTTGCAATTTCTCATCCTTATCATACACAGATTAATTACAGTTATTTTACTTACTTTTTTAAGAGTTAAAGTAGTATCTAAAGGCAAGTTTTAGGGTACACATCTTATATTCCATTATTATTGCTTCATAATATTTTTTTAAAGATTTAAATAATTCCTAATCTCCATTCACAACTTTAAACAATTATAATAATGGATTCATTTGAGTGAATTATGAATAAGTTACTTGTTATAATTTCATTTTTTTTTTTTTAGAAGTCATGTCCTACCATTTCAACATCAAAACCCGACTTTCCATTCCTTTGTGAAACTATAACATTTTTTTTATGGTAATTAAGTTTTATAAGCAACTGAGGTTCGATTATTAGTTAGAACTTACAAGTCCACCACTGAACAAAAAATTAATGACAATTTCTATAAGTTTCAAACGAGTATATTTTTTGTTTTTAGATCTATATTTTGTATCTGAAATATTTTATCTGAAAAACTTTAATTTCACCCTTTTTCTGCTTGCTTGCCTCTGGTAGAGTTTTTATAGCAAGTTAAAAATATGGATGAGAGTAGAATATTCTTTTGTTTAAAAATTATCGATATAGTATTATTATTGGAAGGTGGTTTTTTATATAAATTTGAACCTCCTTTTTTTGTAGTTTGTCTTATTAATCAGATGCTGGTTAATTGAGGTTTTGCTGTAGTCCCTTATTTGTATTAAATATTTTTTTTTTTTATGTCCGTCCAGTCAAGCATTTTAATTTTTTTTTTTAAAATACACATCATTTTTGGGCCATTAATGATCTTCGCCCTTTGGTGACAGATTAAGTGTATCGAATTTAAACACATTATATCATATTTTCTTGTACTTAAAACAAGTCCCTCCTAAGTATTAGTTGTATTATTGTACTTAATCTCATTAAAAGTATTGGGGTTTTTAATGCATGAGGTTTTTATCAATTCTGTAATCAGAGGCCCTTATGAAATTTTTTTAAACATTTTATTTCTCCTTTATTAATGAAATTAGTATTTTTTCTCATTGTAATTTTCATTTTATCAGAACTTGCTCAACATCACCCATTCATGTTTTGTTTTTTTAAAACTATAAGCAATAAATGCACAAATTTATTTTTATTTTTGTTATTTTTATCATTATTTATTTTCTATTAGTTCATATTATATATATTGTGTATATTTCCTCGGATGTCTTCATTACATAAAGTCACCCGAAATATTTTTAAGTTTTTGTAAAAAAAAAAAATGAAGAAGTGACCTTACAAAGGGTACAATTAATTGGTATTCCACGAGCATGTGTATTAGTTAATTAATATTATGTAAAAAAAAATAATCATAAAAGAATTTAATGTTTAACTTTACATTCCAGACAGAAAATATTAAAATGTATTTAATTTTATGAAGAAAAAAAAATAAATTGTAAATTTTGTAGAAATATGGTTTTGTATATTTGATTGAGATTGAGGAAGGTTGTGATAAAAACTGAGGTTATGCACTGGTTGTGGGAGTGTTAAGAGAATGTATTTGTTTCATGTTACTCAAACCCCAGTCATGTTTATGTCGACGGTACTTGCAGTCATGTATACGTCAACAGTAAATTACGTTTGTCCCAATGGAGTAAATACCTTAACATTGATTAGACTAGTCATTCGTCTTAAAATGGACTGTGAGCGTGCTATCTGTTATATTCTTGTGCTATAAAGTTGATGAAAAGGAATTTTTATTGCCAAACTCAGAGGCATTTATGTACATTTTTGATGTCTGGTAATAAACTATATAAATTTTTTAGTTGTTTTTATTACCTTCAAAGAAATACTTTCTGGCATACACACCCAAAAGATATATAGGTATAGCATTTTCATGTGATATTCAAGTTTTTCCAAGATAAATTCAATTTTTTCCAAGTCAATTTCAATTTTTGGTTTATTTTAACTTTGTGGAATCTTTCTAATTAGAAATCATAGACTCGTGTAGAACAATTCTGATAAATCAAAAATTTTATTTGACTTGGAAATGCATTTATGTATAGACGTAGACTATATAAAATAGGCGAGTAGAAAGCAACAATTTCCAGGAACATAAAAGGATGAATAGAAAAATATCAATATAATTATTTAATTATAGAAAAATATCGATATCCAATATTGATGAAAAGAATGCTTTTATTAGATAAGTTGGCATTCCACCAAACAATATTATAAAAGGGATAAGCAAAAAATTTTTGTTTTATTTATTTTATTGAAAAACATAAGGATATTCCATAGAATAATTAAAATTATATAAATTTAAGTGTTTAATAATCTCAAAAAATTTAGTCTCACTAACACTAACACATTATTAATTATTGAAGAGAAGGGTGGTTGGGATTATCAGTCAAAATAAAAAATAATAAAAATAAATAAATGATATTTATTTTTATATTTGCCGACGTTTCAGCCCCAAGTTCAAGCCTTCATCAGGGTTAAGAAAAAAACAGATAACAATGGGTATGAAAAACTATAAACATTGAATAATAAAGAATTAAAATTTAAAAAGTGACAGGTATAGACTAAAATATGTAGGTAGAATAAACTTAAAATAGATATACCTTTCACTTTTTTAATTTTTTATTATTTTGAACTGCTCCAACACTTACAAGACAAATGCTCTAAATTTTCAGTTAATTACAAAAGAATCATCTACTTAGCCATAATAAGACCTATATGAACATACGGAGTTGAGCTTTGGGGCTCTACCAAACCATCGAATTCCTATTGTATATAATCCTTACAATCCAAAATCCTTAATGCCCCATATTTTACAAATAAAACCATTCATAAAGACCTTAATGTTCCATATGCCGCTGATTTAGCCCGAGCCAGATACCTATCCTTTCATGATAAACTCCAGTACCATCCACCTAGAATTAAATAGGGAGTGCTAACACTGGGCAGTATCTCTTCAAGTTTTTTTCATGTCATTATTTCTAATGGGTGCATTTTTACTGGTTGCATTTTTTATAGAGTTGTAAATTTCATTAAATAAATAACAAAAAAAAAAAATTCTTTATTATTCAATGTTTATAGTTTCTCATAGCTATTGTTATCTGGTTCTTTTCTTAGCCTTGATGAAGGCTTGAACTTCGGCCCGAAACATGGGTAAATATAAAAATAAATATAATTATTTATTTTGTCTGATAACCCCAACCATCCATCTCTTCAATTATTCACTGCAGTCAACGATCAATCCACTATTATTATATGATTATTCTTGGTAAAAGTATACTAAGACCAATAATTTATTCAATATTTTAATTAAAACTACTCTTTAGCATAATTCATAAGAGTAGTTCTAATTAAATAACCTGTAAGCAAAATATTATGGTTAGATTGCTTGCAGATAATACTTCCTAAAGATAAGGGCAAATTGGACTCAGCTATCCATAGTTAACCCAATTTATAGACGAACCAGATACTATCAAAGCCCAATGGTGAGTTTAGGAACTTGCCCTAAGTTATAGGTGTTTCAAACTCCTCGTTTGTTTGTATATCACAATACAATAAGACAATATTTATAAACTCAAGCTAAATTTAAATGAAATTCATCAGATTATGTTCAAATAGAATTACGAAAATTGTCAGAAAGTCGTTTATAAGAGCTTTGCTTTGCCACCACCCCCTTCTCTTCAATAAATGATGATTATTCTAATGAAGGTTCAGAAATTTTATTTTTCTATAAGAATAATTCACTATAAACATTTTTTAACATTTACAAAAAAAAACCCATTTCCACCTAAAATAAAAATTATTTCCAGGAAAAAGACTGGATGATGTTAGTTGTGAAAAATACAAATCGCCTCTTTCAAATGAAAACTGATATAAAATAAAAAAATGTACAAAATATGTCACTCTGGGAGATAATAAAACTTGTATTTATAAAGTATTTTATTTATTTCAAATAGTTTTTTTTTTTTCTTAACTGCAATATTAATATATCGAATATACAGATATTATATAGTAATTTTATTTTTTTAAATAATCAGCTGAAATTGATTAAAATACATTATAAATATATATACTTGCATATAAATTTATAATTTATTTAAGGTGGTTTATTTTATCTTTTATTCTTGAATAAAAGCTTCTAATATACAAACTACTACTACTAATTAACAAAATATAAAGGATAAAATACTACTTTAACATATGCTAAATTTCAAGTACAGTAATATAAATTAGAACTCACAGATAAGTATAATAATTGATACTGACATGTGACTAATATACCACAAAATGTATAAGAAATATAACAAGTACATTGACACAGTTACTAATACCAAAATAATTAGCTAGAAATTATAACATATACAAATATAGAATATAATTTATTGATAAGATGGAAACTTTTATCCTGTTCCAATCCATGCCTATTTTTGGAAAATTTTTCATTTTATCTTCCTCCCAAGGTTTATCGGATTATATTATATTATACATATCAATTATAAAAACAAAATTACATATGAAAATAGAACTGGAAGATAAAAGGAAACAGAAAAAAACAAGATCAACACAGGTAATTGAAACATTTGCTTTTTACAGTATAATAAACTATAGAGATAGTAAAACTGCGACTAATAAGGCACACTTAAATAATAAATTATTCACAATAATAACTTCAAATTGAAAATAATGTTTCTTCTATCCTATAATTAGTCCATTATAAATGTTGATATTATCTTATTCTGACGGGCGGATCTATGGGGAGTAGGGGAGGGCTTTGGGGCTGAAGCCCCCTCCCCCCAAAATGGTAAAATATAACCATGTTTTATGTAGTATTATTGTTCCTGTAATTACATTTAAAATGACTTTAGGGATCACTTAAACACCATTTTATAAAGGTAGTTAGTTTCTTTTATGAAAAAAAAAAGCTTTTGATCTGAAGCCCCCCTCCCCAAAATTAATTCCTGGATCTGCTAGTGCTTGTTCTAATATAAAATTTTATACATCATTAATCCCATTTGAATGCAGTAATACAGCTCATTGTATAAAATGTTATACTATCAAGTCTTTAATACAATTAAACTTGATTGAAATACACATGAAAATTGAACAGACTATTTTATTATGATTAAGCCTTATAAAATTTCAATACTGCTAATTCCTAATTATTTTTATGTTAACACACAGGAGTGGGTTAAAAAAATTAAAATTGTGTATCCAGCTTCATCCATTTTTTTTTCCTGACAAAGGGAGATAGAAGTTGAACTTGTTTAGAATATAAGACGTTTCTGGAATCGTTCGAAATAGGAATAAAGGAAAGTTTAAACAATTGGTTTATGCTTCGACCTCCCGGAAGAAAGATCTGACCAGGTCGTATTTCTTGTTCTTCTAAATGTTTATAAATGGCTGTATCCTGGTTTGACCACAACTTCTGTTAGTTAAAAGTTTGGCATCTTGCCCATTGGTAAGTCATCAACAGAAAGAAAGGTGCTCGAAAAAAATTGAAAACCTTTTAAAGAAAAATATGTCCACATTAAAAAAAAAGTAATTATTTAGATGAGGTCTGCGCAGCCTTACAACGTTTCAAGCACAAGTGTGATCGAAGTGATTGTGAACCACGCGTATAATAATTACCAATAAAAATACTAGCTTAGTGAAATAACCATTTATATATGTGTATGTCACATAGTTTGTGAAATGTCAAAACGTTTTTCTACCTTAACATACATATATATAGTATATATAACATGTACATATAATATATATGAACATCGGGAATGACGTCATGATAAAATTTCATTTAAATATATTTCAGAATACTTAATGGAATTTATTAAATATTATCATTATATTTCATATGTCTTGAAATATTTTTATTATTATTTATAAATTAACAAACTAAAATATATTCCTGAAAGCAATTTAAAAATTACTATTGCTACCTTGATTACTACCAGCTGTACTTCTAGATCATTCTAGACACAACTCTGTACCGTCGCACTTCGGCTAGAAGTTTAATATCTCCTCTGGATGAATTTGAATTTAAAACTGTTTGAGAAAGTAACGCAAAAGTTTCTCTACAATTTAAGAATAAGGTACTTATGAAATTTGAAGATAGTTAATACTATCTTTTAAATTAACCAATACTGGATGTACGTACAAGAGTTTTCTTAGATGTATTGTAAGAATAAATAAATTTATTAGGTACCATTGTAAATTAAAATATATATCAGGAAATCATTTTATTTATAATAAATCTCTCCAAAACTTATTTGAGCTTCATATCCCGAAGTTCGAAAAAAAAAATAGTATCAATTAAACTAAATAATACTCAACGTACGTACAATCATGTAGATAAATGTTTAATAATGTTTTTAATATGTGTTACCAAATAAATATTCATTTTTTTTTAAGTTATGTTTCCTCATAACTTTTAGTATGAGGAATCACATTGTTCTGTATGCCTTTTGTTGTCTTACATTTTGATTGAAAAAGAAAAAAAAATATTTATAGAGTGTATAATTTTTAAATTAAAATATAATACGAGAAATTGTATTATTTTTATAAACGTTACTTAATTATTTTGAACTTTGTACCGGACCTGTTCGTGCAAGTCCGAACATCGTACTTTGTCCTCAAGGAGAACAAAGGACTTCTCATTCTAGTCCCAGCTCCTCACCGATACACTTTTCAATAACTGTTAAAGTTATTTCCTACAAAAGAATTTCATTACATATAAAAACGAATTGCAGTTATTTAAATATTTATCTGAGAAAATAACGCAAAAGTTTCTCTGTTGATCAGAAA